ATATCTATATCTTGAAGTAATTAAATTGTAGCGAAAAAACTCTTATTGTTTTTTTTTTGTGTAAATATTTTGTATATAAATTTTTTGTTTAATTTTTATTGGTAAATAAGTTTTGTTAATTGTTTAAATAGTGTTTTTTATTATTTTTATTACTAATTATTCGAATGACACTAAAAAATAAATAGGTACTTAAATAACAACTACTTTAAAAATGAGAAAAAAGTTAAGTAGCCTCTTCAAACTTTGCTCTTAATTTATACCGTACTGCAGAATGAAAATATATACTACCTGTGGTAATACAGATAAGAATAATGCGTGTTATGGCATTGACGTTGACAGCATTGGTCAGTTGGCAACAGTTTGTTAGTGTGAAGGTTGAGAAGTGACAAACAGGGAATAGTGGTTGATGTTCAGAAGACTAAGTTGATTAAATTAGATAAGTTGTGTGTATGTTATCTTTCAAATAAAAGAGAATATGTCAGTCCGACCACTAAGCTGGCTAAAGGCTACTAATGAAAACTTCAAGATAACAAACCCATGTAACACATTACTATTTTTGAAGTGAAACTTCTTTATAGACGGAGATTACGATTTTTTCTGTCAAGAAAAAGCGTTACGTCCGCGTGGAGGGGACAGATGGTATAAGGGGTTGGGTGAGGCGACAGCGGTGAATGGAGAGAAAGGCTATCCGCGGCGGAGAGAGAACAACGGCTGTATTAGATGCATATAATGTGCAGCCGCGCGGAGAGCGGGGTGTCCACTAGAGTCCCGGCGGCGTGTGCTGAGCTGTTATTTTGTTACCTCTACTTTTCCCGTGGCTGGGCATCATTGCCTCTATTTGCGCTCTGTGTAAAAATCGAATCATAATTTGCAGTAAATCTGTGAAAATGAAATGTGTGCTGGGACACATAGTAGAAGTGAAACTTCAATGGACAAGTGGGGAAACGAATCGCAACAAAATTTTTACTTTAAGTTTTGCGGGCAGACTGTTAATGTATTTGTCCAATTTGAAAATCTGCCCGTAAAACTTTAAACTAAGTGTAGTAGAATTTGGTTGCAACATCGGCTATTAGAACAACTTATAGGGTTCAACCATCACCTTTGTTAGCTGTGAAATACGTATGTTATGCGGTTGCCACTAGCTAAATGTTGTATTTTTCATTATAAAGCGGCTTTATTTCCCGCAAATTTTACGTTTGAAATCATATTATACAAATTTTGTATCTCCTTCTAATAGGGGGAGGGGCTTGAAATATAGTGATGGGCTACTATTTTTTTTTGTTTTCGTGGAAGACGGGAAATCTTTATAGATACCCAGTCGTCCGAACGACTGAGAAGTGTTGGATTCTCAAGGAAGGAGTCCTCGGACGTACCGACTGAAACTCCTCTGTCTCGGATCGTACTTTAGGACAATTATTTCGGAGCCTCTTAAGCCGGCTGTTATTTAAAAACCTGCTGTTTTTAAACTGAAAATAATGGATTCGGTGTTCAGTTATGAACCACGATCAGTTTACTATCTTAAACCATCAAACCTCCGACCAACATTCCTACATATCGGTTTGGATGTGTAAAAGTTTTATGAACACAGTGGAGTGTGTAGTTTCGCAAAACCATTGCAATCTGCAATAAATACAGATATAACTATAATAGAACCGAACATGTAACTGTTTAGTAGGATCGAGTACTAAAACTTGGATCTTTACGCCTATCTACAGTTAACTCTTTGTAAACAATTAATTTATTTCGATATCTAAAATGTAAATTAAATATAATTTTCTTTTATTAGCATTTCCCCAGAATGCCCAATTTGAGCAATACGATTCATCGGATTCTGTGAGAATTGTTGGAGGGTCTAATGCATCATTAAACGATTTTCCTTATGTAGTGCAAATTATGGCGGGTACTTACTTTTGCGGTGGATCGATATTGTCCAACGCATGGATACTTACGGCGGGTCAGTGCTTAACTGAGTAAGTACGAGTTAATTTTGTCACAAGTTAGTCTATTGTTAATGTGTCTAACATAAGGGTATTATACATGTACCTATATTTAGCCCCATTACAAGTACAAAATACTTATTTATAAGCTTATTTAGGATATGTAAATTAGGTATCTTTATTATTATTCAGTAAATCTTCTTTTATTCTTTGGAAGTTCATTGTAGATTTAAAATTGAAACAATTGTAATTCCAAATATATATTAACTATGTATATTTACTACATCTGAAGAAACCACACCGTGGCGAAACGTATGTTAACTTGACGATAAAATTATATACTCTTCTTTTGTAGCATAAATGTAACAAATATAACGATTATTGCTGGTGCTCTACATGAAGAAGGCGTTGAGGGTGTTCTATTGAAAGCTGAAGAACTCTACATCCACCCTCAGTACTCTGAGCCTCCTAACGACACTGAAGCAGGTCCCGACTATGATGTCGGTTTGATTAAATTGTTACAAAATTTGACCTTCAGTGATACGATTAGGAGTGTTCAACTAATCGATGAAAATCAACAAATAGCACCAGGAACCAATGCCACGGTTGTAGGGTGGGGATTGCAGTCACAAGATGTTAATGCCAGTTACATTGATGTACTTCAAGCAGTTACTGTACCAATTATCTCACAAGACGAATGCAGAAGTACTTTTAACCTTACCGAAGAGTACCTCACTGATAGAATGCTGTGTGCTGGTTACGACGAAGGTGGCAAGGATGCCTGTACGGTAAGTTAGATGGTTCTGCTGTCGTAGCACCTCATATTATATCGAAATAAGAGAAAAGCCAATTATGCCACCTCAAACGTGAGAAGATGGTCGTAAAAGGGCAATTACTTACATTAAAATGTGTCAGTGACAGAAATCTTATCGACTTTTAAGTTTTTCAAAGTCGTTGAAAAATGTGAGCGTCCCATTTTCTGTAAATAGAAAAAATGAAGGTTATATTCGCTAGATAGATTATTTACTGAAATAGTTCAGCTTAAATGATTTTGATAATATTTAAACGTGTGAAATTAATTCAATTTCTTCGGCTTTACACATCACTAATTTGACTACTAAGCTCTCAAGGTGACAGCTAGGGTAATTTGTAGTGGGTGGAAGTTTAATTCATTTCACATTATTGTTACAATATTATTAAGCGTTACAGCTATTAAAATGATTCTTAAAGTGTTTCATAAAATATTTTTTTGAAAAAAAAATTATTGAGTGGTATCAACAGTAAAACGCATACAAAGTTAGACAAGTAAGCGCATGAATTACGAGTTCCAAATATGAAGTGGATAAAATTGACCAGATCAATTTTCTCATCTTCAGAAGTATTATCAAAGCAGGCTCACTAGGGGTAGGAAAATCAATTTTGCATCTTATACACCCGTGAATATTTCTGAGTATTATTTGGAATGGGGATTGAAAAAAACGGCTGCTCCCACTCCGTTAAGTTAATATTCGGGACTCATGCACATATTGTTCTGATCCACTGATATTATTAAATTCAATAGGCTTAACATTACTGTTGATGTCACCTAATTAATTGTTTCTTCAACTATAATTTATTTTAGCTGACCAATTTTATTATCGTTAAATGTATCACTTCATTTTGTCGTACCTTTCATTATTATCTTTTAGCAAACAGTTAAATTATGTACACATGAGATGGTAAGATAGAGGAGTATATTAGATGTTTTTTGAAACGTGCACACTAAACAGTACTAAGATGTTACGTATTTTTAAAAAAGATTAATTAATAGTCCGGTTTTGATTGAAAGCGAAGAACAAATTTATTTGTAAATATCTTAAATTTTAGGGTGATTCTGGAGGACCCATGGTTGTTAATAATACCCTCATCGGCATCATATCGTGGGGTCGTGATTGCGCGCAGGAAAACAATCCAGGAGTCTACACTAACGTTGCAGCCATTCGTCAGTACATTAGAGATGTTACATCACTTTAAAAACAGATAATTATTAAAACAAAAAAGAAAATCAAGTTGTTTCCTTTTTTCAATGCTTTTCTCCGTCATTATGATCTTCATTTTCCAAATTAAGGACATTTTGACTTCATAATTCAAGAAATATGTTATACTAGCGGCCCGCCCCAGCTTCGCACGGGTTCAATGCTAATATTAAATATATTACAGAATGTCTTTATATACAACATTCACAGTTTTTTTGTCATTAGACAATACAAACCGGCCTCCCTGCCGGTACCGCCGCAACCGCTATGTCCCTGCATTTTAAATCTGTAATATCTTCGAAAATATTCATTTAAATTACATGCTGCAAAGGGCCATATTGATCTATATTAAATGCACAATGTATTTAAAAGTACTTAATTCGATAAGGATTAATGCTGTATTGCTTAAAATAGCTTCGTAAATAAGCCATTATTTCTCATAAAAAGTAAAGGATAAAAAATGGTTATTGTGGGTTATCCCTAAGAGATAGACGTATACCATCCCGGATTTGTACTGTAGTACATTATTTTGGTCTATCTCGTAAGGTTCAGCTAGCGTTTGCAATGTAAGCGCAAAAAATGTGTTTATTTATGACATCACATTAGAAACTTCTAAAATTATTGGTGTTTCTGTACTATATTATGCATGTATTATATATATAAACCTTCCTCTTGAATTACTCTATCTATTTAGAAAAACCGCACCAAAATCCTTTGCGTAGTTTTAAATATTTAAGCATACATAGGGACAGACAGCGGAAAGCAACTTTGTTTTATACTATGTAGTGATAAACTAACGGAAGTTTTAATGAACATTAAGTTTTTCATCAGTAGTGTATCGAAACTATCAAAAGTGAAAATGCAATTTAGATCTTATTAGTTCTCATCCGCACGTCGTATGTAGTTTCAAACTGAAATTGTTTTTCAATGGAAGATATATCAATCTGTAGGAAGAGGATTAGCATTGTTATCGTTTCCGTTTGTTAGATCTTGGTAAATGGTGTTGTTTAATGAATGAAATTTTAAACGTTTATTTAATTACCACAGGAACAAAATCAATCGCTGTCTGAACACGAGTCCAACAACTTCAGCAAAAGATGTCGAGGATTCTGGGACAGGTTTTTCCACGGGGGTGGAGGATGTGCTGGCGTTGGCGGTGGAGACAAGGTGACAATGAAAGTTGGGTTGCTTTTCAGCTAGTTGGTAGCAAGGTTGCTTTGCAGCTAGGTAGTCTCCCTTGGAAGGAGAGGTATTTGCTGGTTAACTAGAGAGAGTTCTCATATCTGGTTTGTCTCGTGTTTAATTTCCTTTTTATATTATTTCTGGAGCTCGTATTATGAGGATGTCTTGTAGTACGACCTTCATGATGTATAGAAAAAACCAGAAAAGCAAATATTACTTAATAGGGTCATGTGATTGGTCTTTGGAAATTAAACTTAAAAAAAAATTTACTAATATCATATAGTACGAGCTTTCGAGTTGGCCCTGGGAGTATATTCGAATCCTCGTGGACTCAACTCCACATTTGTAGCAGTCGCAATGGAGTGCTTCCTAGAATCGAGCCGTATTATTACAATCATCATCATCATACGGTCGTCAGATTATTAGAATGGTATTAAATAAATGAAAATCGTAGCCGTACTATTTTCGATAATCGGACCATCTTATTACTATTGTATGACATATGTAGCAATTGTTGCGGCGATCGCTGAACCATGTGGAATCATTTCGTAGATCAGACATTGATTAGGCATTACACTCCCACTTCTTTGACGCCAGTTGGTGCAGGTGTTTTCGGCTTGCTTGAAGATGGTGTTAAAGAATTCAGGATGTGGTCACGTTGGCTACTTGGGTCCAGGCAGGCAAACGAAGTGGTGGTGAACGTTTCGAAATCGTTATAGTGTCGTACGCTGTACTATTGGGCTTCCTTTATCTCATCTCAGGACATGCGGAAAGCGGCAGGTGGATCGGTGGTAATACCGCTGTTGGTACAGGGTGATATGAAGGTGGTACAGTCGTCCAGTGGCGTCTTCCGTCCGACGGGGGGGGATTGTCAGAAAATACTTCTGCGAAGTCCTCATGCGTTAGTAATAGTCCGGTATCGGAGGCTGAAGTGAATCCGTACTCTTCCTCTTGTAAGTTTCCTTTTGATCGAATAATCGGTTGCTGCCGATCTCAAAAGGCAAGAGATCTGTGGTCGATGCCATGGTATATGTATTCTCAGGTGACATCAAGATGGGCGTGGCACGCTTGTTGTCAGGGTTTGCCCAGCACCAAGTCACCAGGAACATCAGTATACCTTAATACTGAATCAACGGTCTGATTACCGCTGATGTCGCCGGCGATGTGTCAACGATTAGCGTTACCAATCTCTTGTTATGGTTCCTGTTCATAGTCCTTGTTTAAAGAATTTTCCGTTGGCAGTAGTGAGTCGTCGATCGTCGGCAACATAATTTACAAAGGTGCAAACTAAAATTAAATGTGAGAAAGTGAAGAAAAAAGCGAAAATCGTAATGTACCCTAAAATAATTTATTACAGGAAATCATCCTTATAGATTATATATGTTATACAGGTTTTTACGACGGTCGTTTTTAATCATCAAGATTTAGAATACAGATCTATTAATGTATAAATAAAAAAATGGGTTTATCGACCAACACCGCAGCTTATAACAATATAAAAATGATGTTTAAACATCTAGTTAGAAGATACTACTCAAAATGGTATACATATTCATATTTGAAAGAGGGAACTACCAAGAATACATTTAGGACTTAAATTTTTAGGTTCTATAATATTATCGTTATTACAGTTTTTGATAAATTTCCGTTCAATGTTTAAACGTTCTGCTTCTTCACCTGGCTTATCGAGCTTCTCATGAAACATTTGCAGCGATTGTATTACTAAAGCTTCAAGATCATGAGGCAGGTCCAAAGCGCCCTCAGCCTCTAAACAATCAGACTTGGGACCATGTATACCCGACGGGCCATTGTATACGGAGGCTGGACAGGTTTCCTGATAAAATTAAACCTCTTAAACACGTGGGGGCACGACCGCAGTAGGATGTGCCTGGAAGCTGGCGCAAGCCTAATGGATTGCAAGAGTTGGCTACGGCGCTTTACGAAGATGATTAGCGAGATTTCCAAGTTGTTCTGAGTGGAAAAAAAATTGCCGGGAATACTTAGGGTAGTTCCATGGAGAAGTTATTTCAAGGAAGCCTGGAGGACCAGCAATATCCAGTCGGGCCACAGCATTCCAGGATTGCACATTAGGGCAGCTATTACGGTGCGATGTGTGGGTTCTACCATACCATTTGAGCGCGGATGCTTGTAAAACCGATGAGTGGGGTCGGTTCTGAGTAAAGGGCGGACTCGAATTAAGCTCCTTGGTCAGCCGTAATCGTCAGCAGAGCACCGTATAGACTATCTGGAGAGCCTGTATATGATTGTAAAGCATTGTTAGCGCAGTGGCAACTTGATGAGATCGAGGTGACTTCCTGGTGTGTTATAATTTCTCAGATCTGAGCGGTTGTGAGGGTGGATCTTTTGGCAAGAAGAATTTTAACGGCACTAGGCCCGCGGCGGTTCTGACGTTTGAGTGAATCATGTTGTGTAGCACATATAATGCTGTACGTCGTATGGACTCTGGTAAATACGGACAACGTCGCAGAAGATGGAGTGGCTGTCGACAATCATATCTGGGCTCAAATTGTTTAGGACATGCTGCAGTTATCGGTTCCCGGTCCTCTCCACGTGGGCATAGACGATGATCTCTGAATTGAGCTTCAAGGGCGTCGAGATCATCAACACACGGTATAGAGCGTCGGTAACCATGTTGTCCTCACCCTTCAAGTGAACCAGCTTGGTATTGAATTGGAGAATGAAATCGAGTTGGCAAGCTTGCTTGGAGGAGGCCTTGTACTTGTGATGGGGAGGCCCATGTACTGTCGTCGCACAATACAGGTCCATGGGCGAGCAAGGATCGTGACGACCTATAGTTTATGTGATGGAAACTTGAACCCATCTACTGAGACGGAGTAGCCGAGGTATATTACTTGTTCATCTCACCGGGTTTATATTCAGCTTTGCCTTACGACCCAGAGAGGACTGGGTGAACTCGGTGAGTCTAGACGGGGTTGTAACTGCCGTCTTTAGGATGTCCTTCTCGGCTATACGGATTTGGTAAAAACCCTTCATGAGATCGATGACGGAGAAGATCTTGCCGCCACGCACGAAAGATGATGCTTTCCAATTTCACCCTGTACCTCAAAAACCAAAAGTAATATTAAAATTGTGCTGACGTTATCATTCATTTTGCAAAAAAGTAGCAGACAGTCGCGAAAACCGTAACCCTTATCTTTAAATAAAAGTTAGATATCCCGCACAAATGTTGAAAATGGGATACTCTGTACATTTGAGAAACTAAAAAGGTACTGTTAATCCGTCGTGGCAATATTTAACGGTAATAGGCGTGCACTGACATAAAACACGAATTCATTAGGAAGAAGACTAATCTGCACGTGCTGGCATATCTACTACTCAAAAGTTAATTTGTTTTATCTCATTTTCGACAGACGTCATTTTAACCACGCATATTGGAACAATTTTTAATAATTACTGGGTAAGTAAGTCATCTTTCTTGTCACATAATGACTTTTTAATTGATCATTATTTGAAACTAAAAACCTCTTGGCAGAAACACAAGTTCAGCTTCTAACTAGCGATTTAGAAACCTTCAACGATACTGATTTTTCAACATTTTCTGAGTAAGACATTAAAAGTTAGAAGAAGCTTACTTAATATCGCGTAATCTTTGCTTTCGTGAAATCGCTGAGGACTTTGTGATCAATTGACTGAACAGCTAAAACAGTTTCATGACACCGGCTGATCGCGAAACTTTAGTTGTTTTACTATATGAATTATATGAACTCACGTCAACGACTTAAAAAATTAGCGGGGGATTCATCAATACCAATAAACAATTTCTTTTGTAAAAGACAAGTTAATAATTGTTATTTGCTTTGAGGTGGATCAATATTATCCACTAGTCGGATTTTAAGCGTTGGTGAATGTTTGGCTTTGTAAATTAAATTAGAGGTCGTCACCAGTTCTCCAGATCTGAGTTTGTTTTAGCTCATTTTTGGCTCCTTTATTCAAGTATACCAAGATACCTTATTTAGGAAATGCCTTCCCTATATTTTTTAAAGTGAAGCTTCTATTACATCGCCTCAATTTTTTTTGCCCATCTATCGCATGTCGCATACCTTTACATCCTTTCCCACAACTCTCTTCGTTTGTGTAATAGTAATGGTAATGAAATGATAAGATGATGTGTATATGATGTAGATCGATAAATATATTCTTGTCAGGATGACGATGAATGAGGTAAAATAATACGGGCTAAAACAATAATATATGCATGTATAAATAAAACATAAAAGAAATGCCTAATCCAGATATTATTATAAACTTAAATCCTTGAATTCGCCTGTGTTTAAATATAAATACATTCGCTATATTTTTCTTTTACGTTAGAAATATTAAAATTATTGATTTGAACCTTTTGTACAATTGTACCACATATGATTACTCGAAGGGCCATGTAAACGCCGAGTTGTAAATATAATGAATTTATTGTATAAATAACAACTACGACTTAATCTAACTAATTATAAAAATTATGAATTGAATTCGTTTGTGTCTTATGAAAGTGACCAATAGTGAGTTACTCTCAGCGAGTCTACAAAGAACTGTTCAATCGAACTCAAAATTTTGTAAAGTAGTTTTAAAATTAACAAATTATCCCTTCTAACAACAAGGTTATTGACTGTAATACTTGAACCATAATATAATAGCAATGGGACAAACCCTCATCTACGCTTCGAAGAATTTGGCTACGTAACAGTAGATTTCGGAAATAGTTAACGAACGACGTTGGAAGTTTCTCTTTTTTAAAAGATAGCCAAAATTTGTATTTACACTTTATTAAAAAGAACTTCAAAATTATCAACTAAGAGTACAAAACTTGCCGTTCGCGAATTAAGTATTACAGCAATATGCCATGCACGTGAACTACAATACATTAATTAATTAAGAAGGCTAAAACAAAGCTTATGTACTGCACAAGAGACAGTCTACTATGCACATTATTGGGAATTAGTTGTCTGTGTAAGAACGGGCTGATTACTATCTATTCACATCGATAACTTATATGTACAATAACAATAAACCTTATCCTAAAAGTATAATAAAATATCAAAATTTTTGTGGCATAAAATTCCTCTGTTGGCATTTCACTAAATAAGATTCGTGTTCCTCAACAATATTGTTCAAGAAAAGGACATCGGAAAGATCCCTTTCGCTTTTCAACATTAAAGTTTCAAATCCCTTCCTATCTCTTAGGGATAACCCACAATAACCATTTCTATCCTTTACTTTTTATGAGAAATAATGACTCATTTACGAAGCGATTGTAGGCAATACAGCATTAATTCTTATCCAATTAAGTACCTTAAATACATTGTGCATTTAATATATATCAATATGGCCCTTTACAGCATGTAATTTAAATGAATATTTTCGAAGATATTACAGATTTAAAATGCAGGGACATAGCGGTTGCGGCGGTACCGGCCGGGAGGCCGGTTTGTATTGT